CTCAGCTGAACACAGAACCGTTCAGGTTCCCGCAGGGAGCCCTGTACAGGCAAAGCGTGTGAAATACCCGGTGCAAAGCTGGCTGAGTATTTTTTCAGTAAGAGTAAATGTAATCTGTCTGTAGAACTGCACAGGGACTATTAACATCGCAAACAAAACTTTGAGGACCGTTTTGGATGTACGCTGGAACAGCCACGGGCTGGTAGTAGGTTTTGAAAAGCCTTATATAGGGAGGGAACGTCACGGATGCTTTAAAAGTCTTCAGATACGTGTAAAAATGACAAATACATTACGTATTATCTCCACAGAACAAACACCATTTGAAATGTGCCCCTTTTTAACTACCATTATGAGCTGTCTAAAGAGCATTTTGGTTGAAACTTGGGAGGAAAGGAGAAGGGAAAAAAAAAAAAAAAAAAGCCCACTGATCTTACACCTGCTCTTTAGCAGTGGGAAGTGGGTTCTCAATCTGTTAACATGACCATCTGGCCAATCTGCATATCACGGCTATCTGGATTACTGTACGATGGAATGACAATAACGTAGCCAAAACAAAAGTAAAATGCATCAAAAACTAACAGTAGCGCAGCCCTTTTGATTTCAAATTAAATAATAAATGCGGTATCACAGCAAAGCGAGAAAGTCAGCTAAATAATTAAAAATAAGCCTTTGCTACGGCATAATTAAGCAAACAATATGGTGTGTGTTTCTATACGAGCCGGCAATAGTTTCCACCGTCGAACGCTCCACTTTTGCAAAGCAGCTCTCAGGAGTTCAAGACGCTGCGACAGCTCTTTTGGTGATGTACAGCATTGTCAGGACACCTCTCGCATCCCTGCAACACGCCGAACCGGCTGCTGCTATTAACAGGATTAATGCAGCAACAATCAATACCAATTGTACTAAAAGATTACGGCGCAAAGCCTTATGTACCTTTTGGACTCCCCCATACCTCCACGGGTATTTGGGCTATCTGCAGTCGTTTTGTGCATTAACCAATCTATGGGTTATTCCCATCGATGCCTCTTTGCCATGGTCCAAGTAGAAATATTTTAAATCCGCCGATGGGAACGTAAAATGGGTTTGCTTAAAGTTCAAGGTCATGTGCTATATACTATTGCCCAGGCAATTACCCATAGAGCCTATTTAGACCCTAAGTAAATTTTCACAGTCGCCGAAATAAGGCTGACTTCTTGCATCTTCGCTGGCTTCTATTCTAAACACCAACAGAAAAATGAGCTCATGTAAATAAAACCTTATCCCCAGCTTTTTCTTAAATTTGAAATTTTTAAACGTCCTTCTGAAAGATTAAAAGATTTTCTCTGCCGCAAATACCTCGCTAGCTTAATTCTCGCCCGAAGCGCATAATGATGGCCGTCCAAAAAAATAAATCGGGCATTGCAGCCTCGCCTCCTGGCCTGCCACCCAGCTTCGTCCACTGGAGAAGTCTCTAAAAACTGTGACCTCTCACAAAATTTAACTACTTCCATTGCGAATCTATTCTCCAATCTGATCACATTAGCAGAAGGAACTCCAAAGCAGTAAAAAACTCCAGAAAGTTCTCGGTTGAGTGCCTACTAATGAACAAAGGTTAACTTTATCTAAAAGGTCAAATGCCTGGTGGCTAAGGTTGTGACCTTAACAACTTAAATTGTGACCTTGCCACGTGCCTAGTATATTGTAGATTCTGATACAGATCATCTGGTAAAGGACCGGTCATAAATTAGCTTTACTGTTCGACTCCCACAAAGAAAACGGTTTGCCACAATGGTTTCCAACTTGTCATTTGATACAAGTGCAGAATAAGTGAAAACTAAAAAGCGAACCCAAGTTCAGGGTATGAAAAAGCCGCCTGCTTTTAGTTAAGCAGATTAGAAACTGCAAACTGAGAGCAATACTCTAGTTTTCAATACATTTTTTGGTCAACCTCTAATTCACAAAACACCAATCTTCCTTTCCTTTTTTTTTTTTTTCTTTCTTTTTTTTTTTAAAAAAAAAAACAAAAATGACATGTAGTTTGCCTATTTGCATATTTTTGTTTTCTCTTTCTAGCCAGTTCTTAAAGAGAATAATTGATTTCAGTAGCTTTGTAAGAAGCACTATTTAAATCTGTGCACATGTGTTCCCTTACAGATGATAGTGCCTACTGAAGAAAAAGCGTGGATTCAAAGCAATAATTATTGTACATGTTTCGAAGGAAAGGGACATCTCGCTGCCGAAGTCATCTTGAATAGGGCATCTTGGAAGAGAATAATCCCCCCCCCCCAAAAGAAGACGAAGAGTGGGAAAAAAAACCCAAGAAAAAGAGAAGCGAGCACTATGGGTGAAAAGGTCACAATGGTTTTGGCACGTATCTTCAAGCACGTTTCGGAGTCTGTGCCTCCTGCCAATACTGGCAACTTCTCAAAACTTTTAAGGAGGTAAAAACATTGTTTAGTGTTTACAAATCTTCTGTACTATAGCAGATGCTTGTCAAATCCGCTATATGTAAGTTGACCAGCCTACCTAGTATTTGCGCTGGCGACTTCCTCCTGATAAATAAGCAGTCCATACATTTGGGGAGCGAGGTCTGATGGAGTTTGAGACAAAGGACCCTTAATAATTTTTTTTTTTTTTTCCCCTTTTGTGATTTTCCTGTTGCGCACCCGGCACAAGCTGCCATTACTGCGGGTCTGCGGGAACCAATGGCTGTCAACTTGGCCAATGTTCAGGTGTAACAAAGACTGCCGGGATACATCGGAGGGGGGAAAAAAAACGGGAAAAAAAGGGGGAGAAAAAAAAAAAAAAAGGTAGCCTATACACGAGGCTTTCGGTACACCTCTGTGAAGCAGTAGAGGCAGAGACCACGCTGCGCTACCTCCTAAAAATCATTTTGTCCCCCTCCCCGGTGAGGTTTAGCAGGGAATACGCCAGCACACGCCACTGCATTAAGAGCACAATGCGATGCGTGCAATCAGCAAACAACGTCCGAAAACACGAAGCGGTGCGGTCTGTACGAGCGTGTTACTGCTTACACCGAACCGCAAATCCAACCCCCCCCAAAAAAAAAATTGAGCCTAAGCCTCACGCAAACTTTCCGTGGCAAACGTCTAGTGCGAAGAACAATTAGCGCAACCGCTGCCTGTTGACGATGAAGGCAGAAATAAATAAGAGTTCGCTATCAAGGATACTGTTTGCCAACAGCGTGATGATAAGATGGTATATCCCTAATCACAATATTGAACTTTTATAACGTCTATTGCCCGACTGTTATAACAGGGAGAGGATTCCTCCGAGCTTCCCAGATTACTTGCACCCCTGGGTTTCGTCCTTTTCTCCCCATCCTACGTTTTTGTGACCCTACACGCAGGCTAAACCAATACCGTTGGTTTCTGTTAACAACTTTTGCCCTCCGCAAAGGCTGCTTTTCATTTAGGAAACACAATACGGACCAGTATTTACTGGCACCACACTATATATAAATCTAAATAATAAAAACCTGCGTGCCAGATAGCAGTACATAGCGGTTTTCAGCCGCGGATATCAGAGCTCTTAAAGCACGTCACCCCGCTCCGATGTGCGGAGGAAGAAACTGAGGCAGACAAAAGGGATGCAAGTCCCCAGTCTCCTCAGGGCCAGTGACGGAATGGGAGGGGACCCGCAACGCCCCATCCTCAATCTCCTTTCGGTTAGCCATTAATCTGGAAACCTTCCTTCACCGTGCCCCACAATAAATCGCAGAGTAAATAAATAATTTTCCACAACAGTTGCCTACCTCACCTTCGCCATAAACGTGCAGTGTGATTTGCCAGATCGCACCAAAGTGCAAAGTAAATTTCGCAGCTTATCTGTAGGAAATACCGTGAGGATACTCAAAAGTTATTTCCGGACCGGGATCGTACCCGTGAAAAACACAGCGGCGACACCGCCTATCGCAACAACCGCTGCCGGGACTCAGCACAGAAAAACTTTAGGGTATCCAAAACTTTCTGCAAGACCTTCCAAAAGAAGGTGGCATCAGAAACGCGGGCTCCCGGTGCTGTAATTTGCTCGGTTTTCTTACTGATATATATTGATATAGAAGTGGTTTCTCCTAATATGACTCCTCTCCCCTCTGCTCCTCTTTTCTTCCAGCCTGTCCAGCCCCTCAACTTGCAAGTCAGGCTGAAAACCGGGGGGACCTATGCATACTATACATGAAAACCAGGGCCGAGCACTTCACACGCGCACATTTTTCTGCAATATAATCACTCGGGAGAACTACAATAGCATATTATTTTATCCAGTCAACCTACTGCACATCCTCTGAGTGCCCCGAGTCACTCCGCGGGCAGGGTGTACTTTGCGCTGGAGTCAGAGATGCCAAGATTTTCATTTTCATCACATGCAAAAACATCTCTCTGCCCCCCCTTTCCCCCCATAGGACTACTCGGGGGGTTTATTTCGTGGCCACTCATAGTTTTGCTATTGAGGGAACGTCTTCCCCTTCCCCTCTGAGCCCAGTCCTGCGGGATTTACAGTCCCCATCCCATCCCTGCAAGGTTGAGGCTACCCGGTACTCCTGACCCAGGGGCCTTGGACACCTCTAGCCTTCTCAGACTACTTTGTGCAAAACATATACAACTTTATTTTATTATTATTATTATTTTTAAATTAAAAATTTCTCTGCTTTCCCCCAAAATCTGGATAAAGGGAGCTACGTCCGGCTGCGCTCCCTCCTAGGACAACATTTAGGATAACACCTGCGAAGGATGCCCGAAACGCCGTTAACCCCGGGATAAACGAGAGCCGCTTTTACGCAGCTGCACCTTAAAAAGCCCATGAAAACAAAAAACAAACAAACAAAAAAAAAAAAGGGGGAGGGAGGTGGGGGGGAGTTCTGGCCCTCCCCTCACCTCCCCGGGAGGGCGATAACCGGCATCCCCCGCTCCCTCCCCGCTCATGCAGCCGCCGCTGGGGCACGGCACCCGGCACGGAGATAAACCGAAAAGTTGGAGAAGGTGGTATAGAAAAGCACTTACCTGCTGCGTGCACAAAGTATGCCAAATATAAATCGAGTTCCTTAACAGAAACTCCTATATGGTGGGGCTGTACGCACAGCCCGGGGTTAGAGCACTGTGGGGACTTTACAAGGCGCTCGCCATCAGTACTTTCGAGCGGAATACCTTTAAATAAAATCACCATAACAAGGTCCAACCTCCAGACCTTATCTGCCTGGCGAAGGCAGTCAATTCTTCTCATCTTGCCCTTCTGGTCTGGATTGGAAAGAACGCAACACGGAGGCTTTTTTCCTGTGACTGTGAGAACAAAATCCTCCCGAAATTCAGGCCTGATATCTTTCCGGAGCTTTGCCAGAAGTCTGGATGCCCATTTTTGCTTTACCTCGGGTTTTTCACTTAGCAGTTCGTCCTTCACGGCTCTCTCTTCCTCTTTTGACATGCGTTTTTCATGTTTTTTGAAGTATTTTCTTTTTCGGGCTTGCAGGTTGAACCACGTGTACGCAAACGCTCGGACGTGAGGCAGAAGTGCTTCGATGAAGGGATGAAATTCATCCTGAAAAAGTTACAGAGAAGGGTCGATGTCACCGAAACCATCAACAAAAAGCCTCCAGAAACGGGGCTTTCGCGAGGCGCTAAGGCTCGCCGGGACGGTGAGAATTTGGGAGAGCGCTCATACTTTTTTTGGGGGCTGCAGGACTCGTACCCCCTCGCTGACGAGACCCCGACCCCGCCGCGTCCCCGCTTCACCTCGCACCCACCCAAAACCTCCCCTCCCAACCCTCCCACCCCTGAAAATGGGGCCCAACTTCAAACAAGCACCCAGGAGGAGACGGTGCAACTATGAGGCCCTTTCCCCAAACTCCAAAACTCTTTTTAAAAAAGAAAAAAAAAAAAAATAAAAAGAGGTGAGAATGAGTTAAAAAGCCCAAAACCCCACCGCAAGTCCACTTGCGGAGCGCGTATCTCCCTTTGCTCTCTCCCTGACCCCGCTGCTTGCGGCGTAGCCAGCGTATGCCCGCCAATTTGGCAAATCCTAAACATTTGGATGCCAATCAATGTTTGTATGGGGAAGTCTAAAGTATAGTAAAACTTTCCCTAAGATATATTTGGAAATAGCAGCAGGCAGTATAGTGAAATGCCAATATAGCTGCATATACAAATACAATGAAGGGTGGTTTTCTCCCCGTTTCCTAAACGGTGACGGGAGTAGAAAGTAACGCGGCCGATTTATCCTGCGTGCACAACAATAACTAACACTAAAATCCTAGAAAAAGCAAGTCTCACAATTTATTTAAAAAAAAAAAAAAGTTTTGTTTACATTTAGTCAAAAATAAAAAAATAAAAATCTGATAGTCGGACATACTAGGACAAGCCAAACCCTGAGCCTTTCTAGAAAATAAAAAGAAACAGGAAAAATTGAAAAAGGCGGTAACAGAAAACCTTAGCACAACTTGTGCAAATACGCAAAGAATTATTAATTTTTTTCCTTTACACGCTGTGTCGTATTTTCATATATTTAAAAAGAAATGCCCTACTTGGAAAGTTAGTTTGGCCATCCAGAGACACTGCTTGCTTTGTGTAACGATTAGTTAAAGAGCACCACTCTTCCCTGGCACAAAAATAACCACCATTAAAATTATGCTGACAATTTAATTAAAAAAAAAAAAAAAGGCAAGAAAGACGCCCCGATTTTGTTAAAAAAAAAAAAAAAATCTCAAAAAGTGCTACACAAATCAGCCAGAGAGATCAAAACATATTATAACACACTGGCACCACGCTTTTTGTTTTTCTCTAAATAAATGAATGACTGAACTCCGGGCTGCACATAAAAACATATCTCGCCTGTGGGGGCCCGATCCAGCACCGTGTGCTGGGGACGTCCCTGCTTCCAGGGGCCGAGTTCCTCCTTCCCTCAGGATTGGGCCCTCCAGGAGGGAAAAATAAAGTAATTTGTGCAACATTTTCCCCAGCATGCTGAAAGCCACCCGCTGCCTATCCTTGCAAGGCAACACTGGGGATTTTTCAGATTAACTAACTTTTTTTTTTTTTTTTTTTTTTTAATTATCCCACGGAGTACATTTCCTACCCAAATTATATTGGGTCGTGCAAGTATTGTTATTAAAAGAGACATCTTACTACCTTTCAACACCTTGTTTTAACTTGCATTTTCTTTTTAAAAATTAGGAAAAAATTGAGAGATCAATAGTAGAAATATCTATCAGCAAAATCCTGTCGTAATTCAAGACCTTCTGCTGACTTCCCAAAAGCTTTGATTGCACTTACTCTGAGTGGCCCTGGAATTGTAAATACTTAAATCTATAGGTAATACCACAGCATTTATTTTTATTTTAAACACAGATTGTTAAAAACTACCAAAACCAGCACAATATATTTCATTATAGCACAGCAGAGCGGCAGTAATCACAAGTACTATGAATGATCATTAAAATATAAGCAGGTAAAATAAATCACTCCAGTGATTGGCACATTCCTCTTTCCCCCCCCCCCAATCTTCTACTGGAAAAGATCATAGTTTCAAATTTCAATAAAGTTTAAAAAAAAAAAAAAAAAGATTGCTGCGAGTTTGCAGTCGGCAGATTCAAAAAGTGAGAGGAGGCACAATCCCAGCACATGGAGCTGCTCTCACCCACCAGAAACAGCTCTCGTGGAGGGAAGAGGGGGGGGAGAAAAAAAAATATAATAAAAATACAAAAACTACGGGTCCCTACAAGCTATTAAAAATAATCAACCCTCCCTTCTGATCCCTCCTGTCCTTCCCCTTCCCCACTCAGGGCGAGTGAAGGGAGACTAAAACAAAAAAAGGCCTTTTGTCAAGTGGAAGTTTATCTGCGAAGGTACACACAGCAGAGGCTCCACAGACCCACAATGAGCCAGGGGAGCGCTTCCAGGCGTTCCTGGTTTCTAAACACGTCTTTGGTACATCCTGAAATATTTTAACTTTTCTGCTTTCAGCAGCGCTTTGTCCTGCCTGATCTCATGCGCTCGGGACTTTTTTTTTTTTTTTGGCCCGACGCTGGATGGTATCCAAGAGAGAGTCGCTTTAACCTGCGCTAAAGCTGATTTCTACGATGCGAACCTTAAAGGGGAGGTAAAAACACCACCACCACCACCCCCAAAAAAAACCCCACAACAACTCCCCAAAAAAAGTAAAAACCACTTTAAAAGACTTCAGAGGGAGGGGGAATAAAAAAAAATAAAAAGGTGCTTTTTGATGTCAAGTCAGGGTCCATGGCTGAAGTAAATGAAAAGCACCGCTGCTCGGCGCGCGAGGTGTGCACGTCCCTATTAGACTCCAATGTGTCTTTTCAAAATGGTGTACGAGGAGAAAAGGTTAATGACTCATAAACAGACCAACTTTCAAACTGTCTTGGTGAAACACGCCGCTCTGTAAAAATTGCACCGCTTCAATCTCGGCGGCGAGGTATTAGCAAAGTCGAAGTGGAAATAAAAGCACTCAGGACTGATCAAACAAAATTGGGCTGGAAGCGGGGAGGGAAGGGGGGGGGGGAGCAGTTTTTGCACAATACAGTTATTTATTTCAGTGTTATTATAGCCCCCGCCAGAAAAAAAAAAAAAAAAGAAAAAAAAAAGTTTTGAAAATGTGTCAATGCAAGTGTGCTAACAGATGTGCAGACTTGCCTGCAGCCTCGCAGCAAAATATCAAGATTTTAAGTAACTGGTGGAAAAGGAGATGATCTTTGCCTTTCCCCAAGTTAGCTTGAAGGGAAACTTTCAAAGTATTTGATAAAGACGTTTGCTTTCCCCCCTCGGCATTTGATGGGTCACCTAAAAATAAAAGGCATCAGAAAGCTGGGAAAGCAAGAACAAAAAGTTGAGGGTTTGGTTTTTGGTTTTTTGTTTTTGTTTTTTTACTTCATTGCACTACTCTCCAAAGTTTGAGGATACAGCTTTTCCGAGAACAGTCTGTTTCTAAGCAGCACCTCAAATTTGGGCCGCACAATTCCGTATTGCACAGACCGAAATTCTCCTCTGCTCTTCAGAAAGGTGTAAAAAAAAAAAAAAAAAACCCAAACCCAAACAACAACAAAAAAACTCCTACTACAAAAGAGCCCCCATACCCGGCCCAAAGGCGCCCGCAATAATGTAACACTGCAAAGGAGTCTTTTGAAACAATATATTTCTGCTGATCTTTTTGAAATTAAGCCAGCTACGGCGACCCTTGTTAATATTTTTACAATCCATTTGCTTGTAAATCTATTAGGAGATGTGCATATGTTCCCCAACTATTTCCCAGCTCTTCAGCAGATATGTAAATGCAACGATGTTTAGATTTTTCCTGACAGATGATACAAAATGCTCGTGCCATTTCAGTTCCAGTGCTTGGATAAATACGCTCATAACTAGGATTTCTATTTGTTTTCCTTTTCTAACCCACTTTCGAAAGCTTCCCTTTAAATCTGAACCAAAAGTTAGGACAAAAAAAAAAAAAAAAAAAAGAAAAAGGAAAAAAAAAAATCACCGTCCCAAAACTTGTAGCAATAAAAAGCTCCTGAAATGAAAAATAGGAAATAGCTTGCAATTGCTCCGGGCTCGCCCCCTTTTCCTACAGAAAATGACAGAATCACCTAATTGATCCTTCGGAGGGAAGAGTTTGTCAGGAGGCCTCTAATCCTCGTATTACTTTTCCAAACGTGCAACAAGAATGCGAGATTTGCACAACTGAGTAAAAAGCACAGTGCTTGCCTTTTTCTTTTCTTTCTCTTTTTTTTTTTTTTTAATTAAAAAATAAGAAAAGGGGGGGGGGAGAGGAAGGGACGGAGGACACGACACCGGGACAGGGAGCAACCGGCCCCTGGATTTATTTTCTCTCCTTAGCGTGCAACTGGGCCTACTGAACCCACGAAGCGACACGTGCGGATGCAAAGCGACGCGGCGCTGGCCCTGCCAGGAGCGTCTCGCTCTCCCTCCCGCACAACTGACAAAAAACAGGTATTTTTCCCAGTTGAATTCGAGAGACAAACTTTGGCCAAAGCAGAACGCGGAATTGCATCCCGCGTCCTTCGCCAACTCCCTCTGCTCCCCTTTTCCTCCTGCCTTTAATCAAGTGTACGGTTTTTAAGCCCGGTGGTGTTTCGGGGCCCTGCCGGCCTGGCTTCTCCTTGCCCAGTACCCAGAAATTTGGGGGAGGCTGAGGAAGAAAGAGGAGAGGGGGGGACGACACGACACCAGCGCGAGGGAAGGGGACGAAACTTTTGCAGCTCTTCAGCCTGCTTGGGAAGCTGCCTCCCCTCACTCCGCGTTTCCTCGCCTTTTTCTCGACGGAAAGAACCCGGAGAGGTTTTCTCACCGGGAGGGAAAAAAAAAAAAAATAAAAAAAATATTCAAATTAAATTAATAAGAATAATGTAGTCAAAATCTCCTGCAGGAGGAAATAATCTGGGGTTTGAGTCCACCACAAAGCATTTCCTCGTTAAACCATTATATCCTGCTAATTGAAGGTGTGTAATTTAGGGTCCTGCAGCAGCGCTG